TAGTTTTGAAATTGGAAAGATCATGCCAATTTTTTATTTTTTCAGTATTATTTCTTCTTCTATAATAAGGTTTAAGAGTTGAAGAAGTATTTTTGTTGCTTTTTTTCTAAACTTTTTCAGGATTGTGTATCTAATATTAGATAACCCTGGAGCAAAGCTATTTGAGGTAGTTTGGAGCATTTTTTCCCATTCTTTTTTCTTGATTTTATCTAAAACACCCTTATACTATTCTTGACAGATGTAGTTAAGAGGTTTGTATTCTAGCTGCTATATATCATTTTCAATTTTTGAGACTATAGAGAGTTTTTTAAATTGTTCTAAGAAATGCTTGTTTACTGCTTTTAGTACTTTTTCTGGTTTATAGGCTAGCTCTTTTTTTCCAGTTGTTTTGTTTGCAGTAACTAACAGTCTTTCTATTGTTATTTTATTTCAGGATTATTTGAGAATACTGTTGAGCATTTTTTTATCTTTGTGTCTAACTATTCTATATCTTCTTTCTATATTATCTCTTATCTTTTTCTTCTGTTCTGTTTTTTGTTCCTTAATCATTTTTTCTCAATTATTTTAATCTAATTCTTTAGGTTTTCTATCCAGTGTTTAGACCAAAAGCTATTTATCTCTTTAATTTGGGTTTCATTAAATTGATTGGCTTGTCTTATTAGATTATTTATAAGCTGTTGGTCTTTAGGCTCAATTCTCAAATCAATATTATATTTTTTTCTTCTATTTATACTTCTGAGCTATTTGATTTATTTGTATCTTGGATTTCAGATAATTTGTTTTTGTTTTTCTTCTATTGTGTTTTTAATCTTTTTAAATGAGATTGTTTTGTTAGCTGCAAGAGTTATGTATTTTATGAGCTTTTTCCAGCCTTCATTGATTAAGTATTCATTTGCCAAGATATATATTTTTTTACTTTTCTTTTTAGCTTTTCTTTGTTTCTCCTTAATATATTTTTCTAGCAATACTGTGAATTCTTCCCACATCTTCTCTGGCATTTTCTTATATAGGTAGATTTTTCAATAACTTAAGTAACCTCTTTGTTATTCACTATGCAACTTTAAGTAAAGTATAAGGCTTAGTAGTATTTTTGTCCATATTAAATTGTAGTCACTGCCTGTGACTAGATCCATATCTTCTATATCGCTATCTATTGTTAGATCTTTAATTTTTGAGTCTAATCATATGTGGTCTATTTTTGAACTATATTTGCTATTGGACCATATTGCTTTGTATATATATAGGTTTATTAGAAAGTAAGCTTCAGCAAATTTTACTCTTTGGAACTATTTTAAAAAAAAGAGTTTGCTGCCTGTTTTGTCATTAGATGCTAGTATAGTTGCTCAGTTTGGTGTAGCTTCTAGTTTTACTATTATATTAAAGTCTTCTCTGATTATTATTTTGGTATTATAGCTACTTCTAGTAATATCTTTTATTAAGCCTTGTTGTAGTGTTTTTTATACTTGCTTGTTATTTGGAGGGAAGTATACTACTTATAATACTAGTACTAATTTTTTAAATCTAAGTACTATTTTTAATACATAAGTGTTCTTTAATACTATTTCAGTTAGATATGTTTGCTATTTTTTCTCAATTAAAACCTCTACTCCTAAACCTTTTTTTTTATCTATTGTATTCTTTGTTCAGAATGCTCTATATTGTTTTCAATTTACTTCTATGAAATTTGCATTTCTTTTATTAATATTCATTTCAGTTATCTCTATAATATTCAAATTTTCTTCAGCACCAAAGTTAATCAGTTTTTGGAGTTTTGTCTTGTTTTCTTTTAGACCATTAATGTTATGAAAACCTATTTTTAAATATTTGAAATTTTTATTTATTGTTATTTTTTCCTTTTTCTAATAATGTTTGTTATACTTTAAAGTATCTTCTAACCATTTCATCTGTAATTCAACTATGGCTAAACTCAGAAGTATTAAATGATTTGCTGCTCTATCTCTATAAATTTGTTTTTTATTTTATTTAAAAGATTCTACAGATCTTTGACTAGGTTTGGGTTTGGGTTATAGGAAGAACCAGCAGTGCTTTCTTTTTCTTTGTTAGATTAGAACTTTTCTTTAAGCAGGTTTTGCTTTTTTTTAATTGCTTTGTTCTTTTTATTAGAGTTGTAAAGAACTTTTATTCTAGAAGCATTTTGTTATATCTTGGTTTTTAAGAAAGGCTTTGGTTTTTATAAGGTTCAGTTTCAGCAGCTTGTTGCTTTTCTTTGTTATTTTGGGTGTTGTTTTTATCTTTTGGGCTTGGAAGATAGGTTTGGAGTTTTCTGGTACTTCTAACTAATCAAGTATATTGCTACTGTAGTTTTATATTAAAGTAGTATATTTCTGAGTTAATAGCTTGTGTTAAATCCTCTTCTGTTTTAAAGTATAGTTGGGCTCTTTCATAACAGTTTCTATTGCAATTAGTTAGAATATAAACTGCTTGAACATTATAAGTTTTTAGTTATCAGAGTAAAAGACTATCTAGTGCTAAGTTTGACACATTGTGAATTGTAGCTTTATATCTATTTCTTTCTTTTAGCTCTTTTAAAATCAAATATTCCTAGTATAGTTCGATATGTTTTGTCTTGCTCTAGTAGACTTTAAGGAGATTGTCTTTTGTTTTTATACTTGGAGAAATCCTAATATAAGCTACTTTTGAATTGAATGAGTATTGCTAGTTGATTATTGCTACTGTGCTATAGTACTAAATTAGTTCTTTATTTCTTCTGCTTTTAAGTCTAAAGATAAATCCCAGAGAGTGAAGTAGTAGTGTGGTGTATATATATTCTTTGAGTCTATTAAACTGCTTTTTAGAGCCTATATAGAGCTGTATATATTTTTATATTATTTTGGTTTTTTGTAGCTTTGCTTTGTTTTTTACCTGAAGTTTCTTGTAGGCTGTTTTCTATTTTTTTTTCTAAGCCATAGTCTAGAGTACCACACTCATTTTTGATTAAAATATTTTTGTTTATGTTTGGTTTGATTTTTGGAAGATCAGGAAAACCTTTTTTATCAAAGAAGCCTCTTTTGTGCTGTGGTTTAGAATCTTTGGTTTCTATTATCATATAGTTTTTGTTTGTTGGTTTTTCACTTTGTATAAGAAAAATTTCTATTAGTAATAGTTTGGTATTAGTATTTTCCAGAGTATTAGAGCTTATATTGTCTTTAGTTTTGTTAATTGGGGCTTGGGTTAGATTAGCCTTTCTATTGCTTTTTATTTGTAGTTTTGTATTATTAATTTCTCTGTTATTAAAGGACTCTAATTGAGTAATTGTGAAATTCATTATTTTTGAATTGTTTTTGTAGTTAGTGCTATTTTCTAAATAGTGATTTGTAGAGTTCCAAACAGGATTGAAAACTCAAACCCATGACCTGTCAGGTTATATGTTTTTACTAACCGGTTACCCAAAACCAAAACTGGTTATCTAATTAAACCAGATAACATGATTACCCGATTAGACTGGGTAATACAGATATCTGATTATATTAGATAACACGATTACCCTATTATCCATTACCCAGAATTGCCTTATCAATATAACAATTACTTTTTTTCAAAATAAGGAGTTTAAAAAATCCTATTTTGAAATAAATACATCACTTATTTTATCTAAAATCAGACATTGAATCATTAATTCTGAAACTTCTATTATATACATATAAAATTTCTAGCACAAAACTTTGCACTTTATTTATACACAATTCACAATTTTACATTTTACAACTTTTGTACCTAATTTTGATTAATTATAACTTTGAAATAAATACAATTCATTTTGTTTATCTATTAAAAAAAATTTTTTTACAAAAAATCCATCAAAATATTACTAAAGTAACTCTGAAAGTTCATATAATTTATCTAATATATCTAATATATAATTCCCTATTTTTGAATAAAATTATAAAAATTATGGTATATTCGTTTTAAGAAAACTGCATTATAAGTGTAAACTATTAATAATAAGAACAATTAAAGATTAATATTATAACTATAGTAAATAAAGTGATAAGTGCCTCAAAAAGAAAACTTGGATATTTTGTAAGATTTCTAAGTTTTTTCTTTGCGTATTTATATTTTAATTGCACTTAATAAACTATACTGATAAAGTGATATCTAATTGTATTGTATTTTTATACCCAAACTAAGTTTTGTCAAATAATAGTCCATGTACTTATATTCATAATTAGAAATCTAAGTTAAATAAATAAAAGCATAAATAAGTAAAATCTGTGCAAATATAAATTAAAGTATGTTCAGTTATAAAGAGTATAAAATAAAATAAGCATATTTGTAATAATTTGATCTAAAAAAGCTTACCAATTTATCTGATTAAAAATTTTGCATATTTTTATCTATTTATTTCTTATTATTATTATTTTTTTTTTGTTTTTTTATAAACTAGCACTTTTTTTAATACGATAAAGATTAGAAATTTAGAATACAATTTCTCTTTTTATAGCTATCTCAATTATTGATACAATTATTTATTATTTAACCTAAATTAATTTTATTATATGATATGCTATTTCCTGATGATTCTCTAAATATTTACTATAGTTAATATATTCTTCTTTTGTAATTACTATCTGATCTTAAATTCCTCTAGCTAAACATATCTATATTATTCAAAAATAAGACTGGGGTAATAAATTTGTCTAATCTATGATCTAATCTCCATAATATTCTATTAGGGTCACAAGACAGATAACACTTATTAAGCTAAATAGCTTATTAATTTTTAAAAACAAAATTACTATTCTCATAAATATATCTTTTACATGTATTTTATACTTCATCTAGCTTAAAAATGGAAAAGTGTCTCATATTACGCTTGAGAAACAATATTTTTTAACCATATCAGGCTGAAGCTTGTTATGCAATACTGTTACATGCTACCCTGAATCTGAGAACAAGCATTTAGAAGGAACTGATGTAGCTAGTACTAATAAATATTTTCAGACCAGGTTTGATAAGATGGTGAATTTTTCTGTATTGTCCTACCACCATGTCAATAGATCACACTTTTTCTTTTGAATTAGTTCATAAAGATAACAATCAACCTTAGTTTCTTCATAAGCATTATCCAATTCTTCATTATTATACAAGTTTAAAACTAAATCAGTAGTTATTGCAGAATTAGAAGCTAACATACTAGATAACTTAGTAAGCTTATGATTTTTTAGAATCTTCTCAGCCAAAGGCTGGTGACACTCTTTCTCGGTACAAAGTCTCCATATTGTGTTGATTGTGATTCGCTTTACATTTTCATCAATAAATTTTAAGTTTTTTATTTGTGGGTCCAAAAATAATGCGATAAGCTCTGTTTTCCCTGAAACATCCCAATACTTTTGAAGAGTAGAGTTCCTATTTATTATCCGTTTATCTATTTATCTATTAAATATTCAGGTCTGAATTTATTTGGATATCCATTTTACTATTATTATCCGGATAATTATCTGAATATTTGTCAGATTATCTGGATACCAATAGTAAATGAATATCTGGATAAATTTAAATGGATGATGGATTTATTTGGATTGGATCTCTATTGGAGAGAAAGATAACTTGCTACTTTAACCAGGTTATATAGCTCTTCAGTGACAACAGGCGACTCTATTGAACAACGATCTTTAAACCATAGATTTTTATATTTTTTATGAGTATCCTTTTAAACTTTTTTATGATTTTGTTTTTTCCTTCATCCTTGTGATATGCATAATAGTTGTCAAAGTTTTTTTGAAATTACAGGCATTTCATTGTCAAATTCATCAGAATTTTCTTCATCAGTAATTAACTGACTTTGATTATCATTTATTTGTTCCTTGGGTCCAAACAATAAATTGGCTTAATTATCTTCAGTTTGCTTATCTGAGAACACAAACTTTTTAATAAGCAGTCTTATTGTTGAATAGATAAGATTCAGTATAGAATAGATTGAGCCAGAAAATATAGTAATGGCTTTATAGAAAGGCTTTAGCAAGCAGATAAGTTTATCTAACAATTGCCATTCACTATCAGTTAAGTTTACTAATTTTAAATAATTTCCATCAAGGTGGTCACTTCATTCTAATTCAGATAGTAATATAATAACAAGATAATCAATTGCTTTACATAATTTTTTAAGTCAGATTCAAGCTAAATATGAGAAATTTTATCTCATTGCTACATTCTCGGTTACTTGATAAATTGTTAAGTATTGGCATTTTTCTTGTGTATTTTTAAAATATTTAGTTTGTTTAGAACTTTTAAAAAAAAAAAGAATCAGATTTTTTGCTCTTTTAATTAGTCATACCACAGGCTTAAGACCTTTTAGAACACTTAATTGAAGTGTATGTGCTGAACAAGCTAACCAAACAACAACATCTATTAAACTAACTGCTTTTTTAATGTTGGCTCTATTGTCTATTATAATACAAAAGATTCTTCCAATTAAACCCCACTTGGTAATAATTTGATTAAGCGAATTTTTAATATTTTTAGCAGTGTGTAGTGAAGGAAGTGGTTAGATTGTTAACAAAGCCTCCCTTAATACAAAGGTTAAATCAACACATGTTGCCATTACTTCAATATATTCTTTATTGGTCCTTGAACTCTATAAGTCTGTTGTTAAATTTATGAAACCACAATCCATATTTACTATGCTAAATAATTGATCATGGCTCTAATCATAAGCCTTATTAATTTTTTTTTTTATTTATCTCACAGGGAATCTGGAATCCAGGTTCTATATTATTTAAAAGATGACGAAAGGCATTATAACATAAAACATTTAAAGGCTAGCAGTCCTCAAGGATAAATTTGATTAACCCTCTTGTTAGTTTTTCTTGATGGCATTTGGTAATAATATGTATTGCCTTGACAATCAGGTTACTAGTATTTGTTCCATTGGGATGTTCTTTATCTATTCAATGCTTGGACCAAAGATAGCTAAGTATATTTCTTGTTGATGAGTTATGTGTATATTTGACTGTTATATTTTTTTCTTTACAAAGTTGGTATACATTAACAAACCCTCCTTCTTCTTTTTCTATTTTAAAATAACCCTATGCAATACTATGATTGCTTCTTTTTTTTTTCTTTTTAGTTTTTTCTTTTTTGTAGAATTTTTTATCTTGAGATGGTAGCTCCTCATCTCTAGAAGATCTATAATCTTCATGTGATTCTTCACTTCTAGGTAATTCATCATAATCTAAAGAGTGCGCATTATGCATATCATGCATATCATGCACATCACCATCAAACATGTAATTAAACATAAGATAAACTAAACTTATTTACTATCTATTCTTTTTATTACTATAAGTTAAGATATTTTAATACTATAATTATAATAAAATTATAATACATTTGCTAAGAATTATCAATTTAATTTTAAAGCAATTATACCTATAATTCTCTAGGTGATATTTTGTAATAATAATAGTAGTTAAAAATAGCAGGTAACAGTTAATGAGTTGTGACTTGTGGGTAACTAGAAGATTACTAGTAGTTGTGATTTGTAGACAACTGAAAAACTACTTGTAATTTGTAGGAGTAAAGTTGTGATACGTGGTTGTGAATTGGGCGAATAGGGCGAATAATGGGCTACAGCAAGTGTAAAATAGTTGGTAGATCAATAACTAGTATAATGGCTATATAGTAAACAATGACCAGAATAAAATAATATCGTTTAAGAATAAAGTGCACTTCTTGTTATATTCTTAACAAACAAAAGTATATACTGATAAAAAAAATATATTCTATGATTAATAATGATAATGATCACCTTTTATATATTAATGAATCATACAATTACAATTACTTTTGGATTATTCATACAATTAGTACAATTACTTTTGCATTGTTCATTATCTCTATACATTATCTATATGTGTGATTACTAACTCTAGCACTAGAATCTACTTTTTTAACAGGTAACCAGGTCAACCATATACATGTATACTGTATATCTGTTTATCAACCAGATATCTGCATATCGTAAAAAAACTAGTTATGTCAAAATTTGATCTAGTTAACAATTTTTTCAGGTCAGATATTCAGTTATATGGTTATTTGGGTAAGAGGTTAGAACCCTAGTAATTTGTACTATCTATTTTTATATAAAAGTTGCCTAATCTTTCTAGCAAAGTTTTCTTTTCTTCTTCTAAATTTTAATTTCTCGTATTCTTGTATTAAGCCCAATCATAGTGCCATATTACATTTCGGATAATAGCGACTAAATATGCTTTGCTAGTACCTAAATATTTTGCTACTTTTTGGTCTTTTTCTCAATAATTTTTATTTTGCTTGTTTTGTATTTTTTTTTTTTCTTTTTTAGTTTTATTAAAGAAGTTTTTATAGTTTATAAGTTCTAACATTTTTTTTGTTTATTTGATATTGCTACATGTTTGTTTGTTGTTTTGTTGTTGTTGGTTTAATATCTAGTTAGCTTACTACTTTATTGAATTGGTTTGTTTATTTGTTTACTTCCTATTTATGTCTGTTTGTTTTGTTGTAAAACTGATCTGCAGAATAAGGTAGAAGTAGTATCTCTGAAAAAGTAAAAAAATTTTTCTAAAAGTTTTCCAAAAATTTAAGTTTTTTAAAAAAAAGTTGTTCGAAGCTTGTAGCAAGCCTGGTTGCTCTATTAATCTAGTATTGATTTTTTTGGTTTGACCTTTTATCTTAAGACTATTTTGTATATTTGCTTAGTACTAATATGCTCTACATCTAGTTTTTCTTTTGCTCCAGTTTTGCTTTAACCTTCTAATATATAACTATCTATATCAGAAATCTTTTGCTCTAATTTATTTATCTTTTTGGATAGCTTAATAAGCAAATTCTTAATTTCGGCCAAAGTAGTTTGATCTAAATTAATTAAATTAAAATTAAATTAAAAATACTATAAATATAGTCGACTCTAGATATAATGAACCTTTTTATAATGAACATGCTATATAACAAACTTTTTTTTTCAAATTTATTATAAGTTTGGTATATAATATATAGTAAATTACTATATAATGAACTTTTAAAAATTTTTACTATAAGACTCGTCAGTTCGTTATAAACAGAGTTGACTGTAGTAAAATAAAAATAAACAAAATTATATTAACTTTTGGAAGGTCTAGCAGATTTGATTAAAACAACTTAAATTGTTTTACAAACTTGTACAGCAACCTGCTATATAAATCTCTGAGTTGTATTACTACTAGCTAGTATATTTAAAAATTCTGCTCATCCTTTTGCACTTAATCTTTCAAATTTACTGGCTTTAGATAAAGACATATTATAAATTATATTATATAGTAAAAAATATAAAGAAAAGATAAAATAAAATAATAATAAAATAATAAAAGTAAAAGAAAAAAATAAAAAAAAAATAAAAATAAAAAAAAATAAAATAAAAAATTTGAAATAAGTAAATAAATAATGAAAAAAAAATGAAAAAGAAAATAAAAAAAATTAAGAAGGAGCAAATAGATGCAAATTAAATTAAAATAAGTTAAATTGGTTAAAACAAGAAATATTGGTAAAAAAATGCAAAAAAAAAAATAAAAATATATAAAAAGAAAAAAAAATAAGAAAATTCAAAATAAGCGAATAATAAATGAAAAAAAATAAAAAAAATAAAATATAAAAAAATAAAAAGGTATAAAAAAAAATAAAATATAAAAAAATAAAAAGGTGTAAATAGTTGCGAATTATATCAAAAAAGATTTAATTGAATTGAAACAAGAAATATAGTAAAAGAAAAATAATTTTTTTTTTTTTTTTTAATCTTAGGCAGTTTTGCTAATACTTTATTAAGATCCTAAGTATACTACTAAATTATATTCTTGTTTACTTCTAATTTGCAAGTCTGATATCATCTAGCTATCTAATAAGCATTTAAGTACAACCTGCTATACTAATTTGAAGACAAGTCTAAAAATTAGAGGCTGTGTTAAACCAGCCTAAGTGCCATACCAAAATGGCTTTCCATTTTTTTCAATTCTACTTAAAATTGTTTTTCTTACTAAATTATCTATTACTTTAATCATATCTATCTTTTTTTCTTTAACTTTCTATACTTTGGTTCTTTTATAACTAGATATTTGGTGTTTTCTTTTTCTCTATCTTCTTTTTTTCTTTCTCTTTTTTTACTTTTTTTATATCATGTGATTAGACTTTTTTTTCTACCTTTTGCTGTCTTGTGATATCTTTACTTTGTTTCTAATTTATTACTTTTTCACATCTTCATCGCTATATAATTTCATAGAAGCCATTCTACAAGATATGCACTATTGTATCAAGAGCTAGATTTGCTTTTTTTTTCAAAAGGCCTTGGTCTAGAAGATCTTCTATTATTGTAGTTTTGTAAAGGCCTCATATGTAACCTTCTCTTCATTCTTTTTGTTCTTTCTAATATTCTCCAAATAGACATCTTTGAAGATTATATGTTCAAAAAATTATCTTTTTTTTAAGATTATCTATAAAAGCTTGAACTGTTTCTATTGCTGCTTGTTTAATTTTAGACTATCGATCTTCTTGTATCTTACAGCTTGCTAGATAATTTTATATCTCTTTTATGTTTTGTTTGCATACCTTGCAGTTATTTTCTTTATACAAATTTGGTTTTTTTCTCACAAGACTGCTTAATGTTGGTAGTTTATTATATAGGCACTTGATCAGAAAGTTTAGCTTTTTTTTTTCTTATTAATGTACATCTAGTACTGTTACAAAGTAGGTTATAACACAGAGAGTAATACTAGCGTAGCATAGTATAGAAAATATTATTGTATTATTTATTATATTATTATATTATAGC